TCCAGCACTGCCAACAACATAGCAGCCCAACAATTTTGCAAATTGGCCAACAAGCTGGCCAACTGCCCCAGATGCAGCTGATACAAAGACATATTCTCCTTGCTTAGGAGAGCAAATTTCGTATAACCCACCATAAGCAGTCATACCAGGCATACCTACAGCGACCAGGATTTCAATCATAAGATGTGAAGAAATATCATCAAAAGAGAAAAAGACCAAGATGAATTTAGAAATTACTGGTAAAATGCAGATTCAACATGAACTATTCACTAAACCCATTAGAATTGAAAATAATATGGAAAATCTGGAAAACATCATCTACAATTAATCAAGCAGGCAGCCACGGTTCTAGCAGAGAATTATTTGATTGATTATAGAACTGCTGGATCATCACAGCCCACTAGCTTACTCAGTAGCATCCTAAAGAATGTTGTCTGTGAATTTGTGAACTTAACAATAGATTGCAAAAGCCATAGAATATCACCAAGATACTGAAATTTGGGACAAGAAAACCACCTAAGCAGATGCCATAAAAAGTAGCCTATGTAGGCGCACCATGATGTGTACTAAAGATGCTTTCAAATGCATTTAACAGAAGATAATGAATTAATGATTCAACTTGTGCTTTCATATGTTAAATAAGTCAACCTGAACTAAGCTAACTAAATAGAAAGCGTACCGAGAATTCCAGTGTAGTAGGAAAGGGGAACATCTGTGTGTTCAATTTTGCGCAGAGATTCTGGTGAAGTAATGAGACTGTACTCTTCCCACGTAGTTATCCCCCATACCAAGTCACCTTTCTTGAAATCTGGATGCACAGAATCCACTACTTTAGACACTCCATATCCTGTTAGAGGCTGCACAACATATTTTCAACCCCAAAAGTAAATAGTTTGATCAGAAACCCCAAAACATAACATCACAACTTCGCATTTTGTAGTAGCATACATTAATCATCATTTTGCTCAAAGTAAATGTGCATCAATCGTAGTCAAAGCAAACAAAACCCTCTTGAGAACATTTCCAACTTTAATCTTTCTTATTTTCCAAACATTCAAAAGCTA